GTGGAAGTAGATGTGTGGGAGGAGGTGGTGGAAGTAGATGTGTGGGAGGAGGTGGTGTAAGTAGATGTGTGGGAGGAGGTGGTGGAGGTAGATGTGTGGGAGGAGGTGGTGTAAGTAGATGTGTGGGAGGAGGTGGTGTAAGTAGATGTGTGGGAGGAGGTGGTGGAAGTAGATGTGTGGGAGGAGGTGGTGGAGGTAGATGTGTGGGAGGAGGTGGTGTAAGTAGATGTGTGGGAGGAGGTGGTGGAAGTAGTGCAGTGGGAGGAGGTGGTGGAGGTAGTGCAGTGGGAGGAGGTGGTGGGGTGGTGAGTTGGAGGAGGTGGTGTAAGTAGGTGGCCAAGTGAGTAAAGAAGGAAGAAACATGGCTCCAAAAACACCAGAACTCAAATGTTTTGTTGAGGTGTAGTTAGTGAATTAAAGCTGCATGGTGACAGTTCTAGCTTATATTCTAATGTGTCTATAAGCAACTTGTAATTAAATTTCTCTTACTTTGCAGGTGGACAGTAGTTCTGTCATGGAACAGAAAAGAGTGGAATGTCCATTAGATATTGAGGAGCTAGGCAGAAGTACATGGTCTTTTCTTCACACAATGGCAGCATATTTTCCTAGCAAACCATCACAACAGCAGCAATCTGAGGTTCACCACTTCATAACAACATTCTCTAAGTTTTATCCGTGCCCTCACTGTGCAGACGACTTCAGAGAGAGGTATATACTATATCATATTTTGAGAATTTCCTTTCATAGTTATTGATGTATGGTGTATATCATCATCGTTGCCATCATTATGTTTGTTTCTTTTATGTCTTACAGAATTGCAATTAAATTGTAAAACAAATGCCCTTGTCTATTCCGAAGTAACTTATTAACTAATCACCTAACTATCTTATTCCTGATCAATTCTGTAGTATATAGCTCACAGAAACTTAATATCAACCTATCATGCAAGTAGACAATAGTTATTAGTATACCAGAGAAACAATGTAGGAACTATATGGGCAGGGTTAGCAAGCAGTCTTTGTATCTTCTTATTCCTTGTACATTTTATATGTTATTATATTCTTCTTATATTAAAAAAATCACTAGCATACTCAGAAAGATCAGTACGCCTACAGCAAATACAATATGAGTATTAACAGGTATTTAAAAAGTATGTACATGGTAAGAAAAACTGTTCGTTTCCTTTGTAGATTGAAGGAACACCCAGTTGATGCAAGCAGTCGAAGAAATCTGTCGCGTTGGATGTGTGAAGAACACAATGTCGTTAACCGAAAGTTGGGCAAGAAAGAATTCAACTGTGAACTGGTTGACCAGCGATGGAGAGATGGTTGGAAAGATGGATCCTGTGATTAATACGAGTACATAATTAGGAAATTTTCCCCAACGTTAGATATTTTATTAGCCCGTTGATTAGCTACTATGAATAGGAATATATCTATGTATCCTATGTATATAGGATCACATGTATTTTTTCTATCAACAAGGTGCATTCTTTGGTCAAGTACATATAAGCAGGATTATGTAATAATATGAGATATTAAGGGTACTTAATATTAACCTTTTAACTATGCACTCTTGTTGTAATTAATATCGTCCAATATTTGATATCAGAATGGTAAGATTATGAGATTGTATACGTGATGGGGCACTCGGTACCCCCCCCCCCCCACCCCCCCCCACACACACACGCACAAACACAAACAACACACACGTACACTTCATCTGGAAGTAAAGATGTGTCTAAACTAGGTTAATCTTGTAGCTTTATGTCGAGTTTTTTGTCGTTATTACATCCTGCAAGTAGTAGGATAACGTACGGATATCTGTAGTGTAAAAATATATATCTTATAAAAGAATAATTTTGTTTTGATGGTATAGTAGGGATTAGAAATTGAATATATATTGGTTATTTTAGAAACCCAATGAGCTGTGATTCCCTCTTTTTGGTAATAAAATTGTGCTTTTATTGCATCATTACACAAATGGTTGCTGCCTACTGTAAATGTATTCAAATTGTATAAGATATAATCATTTTAAATGTCTTAGTATATACAATGATACATTCTTATTCATTACACAATACTTCTATTCTAGTTCTATGCTATGATCACGCGGCAGCTATATATTATAGTAGTACAGGAGCTAAGAGCCATAAATCAGATGAGGTGTGCCCTTTTTGATAAAAAGTAGAAATATGAGACTATAAATAGACAAAAATGCAGCTGTAATCACGATTCCATTACAAGAGGATATGAATGCAGAAACCTTGGCAATAATGTGATAAAATATTGGTGCAATTAGCTAGAATATTATTTACAGGATATATGGGTGCGATATATAGGTGAGTAAAAATAGCACAAACGTATTTGTGAATATATACGGGTTAGTTGGCGGTAGATTCTGGTTCAAATATGTTTAATCATCATCCACGCCATCATCATTGTCGTCGTCATTGCCACCATCATCATCATCACCGTCATCATCATCATCGTCGTCATGGTCGTCGTCATCATCGTCGGCATCGTCGTCATCGTCATCATTATCGGCATCATCATCATCGTCATCATCATCGTCGTCGTTATCGTTGTCGTTGCCGTCGTCATCATCGTCATCATTATCGTCCTCGTTATCATCATCCTCATCATCATCGTCATTATCGTCGTCGTCGCCATCATCGTTGTCATCATCACCATCATTGTCGTCGTCGTCGTCGTCACCATCGTTATCATCATTGTCGTCGTCGTCGTCACCATCGTTATCATCATTGTCGTCATCGTCGTCGTCACCATCGTTATCATCATTGTCGTCACCATCGTTATCATCATCATTGTCGTCGTCGTCACCATCGTTATCATCATTGTCGTCACCATCGTTATCATCATTTTCTCGTGGCATGGGTCGTCAGCGCAGCTCGGTCCTGTTAGTTCTGTCGATTGTCGTCGTCGTCTCACCATCTTTATCACCATTGTCCGTCGTCGCTCGTCCCAATCCGTTATCATCGATTGTTTCACCATCGTTATCATCATTGTCGGTGTCGTCTCACCATCGTTATCAATCATTGCTCGTCACCATCGTTTATCATCATTGTTCATCGATGTGTTGCAAATCGTGGCGGGGCGGTCTGTAAAAGTGTGCTAGCATCTTATCACCGGATGTCGTCGTGTTCGGTCGTCAGCTGCGATCGTTATCATCAAAATTTTCGGTGTGCGCAGAGGCCCATCGTCACCATCGTGTATGCTATTTCATTGTCGGTGTGATCACCATCGTTATCGAATCAGTTGTCTGGTCACCATCGTACCATCGTTATCATCATTGTCGTCACCATCGTTATCATCATTGTCGTCGTCGTCGTCACCATCGTTATCATCATTGTCGTCGTCGTCACCATCGTTATCATCATTGTCGTCACCATCGTTATCATCATTGTCGTCGTCGTCGTCACCATCGTTATCATCATTGTCGTCGTCGTCGTCACCATCGTTATCATCATCTTGCTTGCTCACCATCTTATCATCATTGTCGTCTTTGTCTGGTCGTTCGAGCCAATCCGTTAACCATCATTTGTCGGTGTCGTTCGTCCCAAATCATTTGCGATCATTGTCGGTCGTGCGTTCGTGGGTCAGCCTGATCTGTTGACCATCGATGTCGTCCGTCGTCACCATCATTATCATCATTGTGTCTCGTCGTCACCATCGTTACCATCCATTGTCGTGTGGCAAGTGGTGTGGGTGTCAGGCGTCGCTCACCATCGCTTATCATCATTGCTCGTCGGTCGTCGTCACCATCGTATCATCATTGTCGTTCCGGTCGTCGTCACCATCGTTAGCATCATTGTCGTCCACCGTTCGGCGTCACCATCAATAGGAGTGTCTATGCATTGTACGTCGGGTGCGTGCTACCAGTCCAAGTTATCGTGTCATTGTCGTCGTCCGTCGTCGAGCGCATCGTGTGATCATCATTGTCGTCGTCGTCGTCACCATCGTTATCATCATTGTCGTCACCATCGTTATCATCATTGTCGTCACCATCGTTATCATCATTGTCGTCGTCGTCACCATCGTTATCATCATTGTCGTCGTCGTCACCATCGTTATCATCATTGTCGTCGTCGTCGTCACCATCGTTATCATCATTTGTTCGGTGCTGTGTGTGCATGGTGGGTAGGGGGTGTGCTGCGTGTGTGATTGCAGGGTGGCAGGGGTATGGGCGTGTGTGTGCGATGTGGCAAGGCTGTGGGGCCTTGTGTGTGTGCGGGTGGCAGTGGCTGTGACGGTGTGTGTTGTGCAATGATGGCAAAGCCGTCGTGTGTGTGTTGTGTGTGTGTGTGTGCGTCTGTGCCTGTGCTGTGTGTGTGTGTGTCTGTGTGTGGGTGCAAAAC